CCCCAAAACCCCAAAACCCCAAAACCCCAAAACCCCAAAACCCCAAAACCCCAAAACCCCATAATATAAAGATTAAGTTGAAAAAATTAATAATGTCACTAAGCCCGAAGTAAGTCCCTCAAGTTGCTCAGCCAGCATTCATGGATTTACCCAGATTTATGCTGAATGATGGAATTTAGAGAAAAGCCACACATTTTACATATTTTTGAAATGTGTCTATGATCTATAAGGGACTATATAGGGTTTTGAAATACATACGCATTATTGCAATGCCATTATAAATTATGCCAGTTGCATATAGATACACATTTTGAGATTTTTTATACCTTAAATTGAATCTAGAGCTTACTTGGCCATAATTTGGTGAGTAATATGAGCTTATTTCTAATCAACCTCTTAAATTTTACAAAAATAGTAATAAATTAAAATTATACCATGAATCTCTATAATAACTTGTCTACATCTCTCTAACTAAAATACAAGCTTTTTTCCATTTAAGATGAACAAAACTATCAAATCTACACAAAACTAGTAAATAAATATCCCTTATTCCTCCCACAAGTACCATCACTCTAGTCTAAACTTCAACCGAATTTCAAAGCAACAAAAATACCCATTCATTATCTCCAAAATTTTCCACCTAATTTCCTAATCTCCCTCCTTTCCCCAATCCTATACACTTTAGCCTAAATTTTTCAAATTTTAGCCTGCCCAAAGCTTCTACCCGATCTTAAAATTTCCTTTCTCTAGCCCACGTATTCCTAAAATTCCTGTTCACCACCTTTTGAATATAAATTCTGAATTTTCTTTGGCCAGGTAGAAGAGTTATTTTTGGATATTTGTGGAAGAAATTGAAGGAAAGATGGGGAATGGCTTTTGTGTTTGGATTTTTAGGGTGGGTGGAAGGGATTTGAGTGGAGGAATTTGGAGGGGGTAATAATGTTAGGGAAAAGAGAGTTTTGGAGGTTTGGAGGAAGATTTGGGGGGTTTTGAGGTGTTTTGAGGGTTTTTAAATTGGGGTTTAGGTGGGGTGGGGGTTTTAAGGGTTATATGTAAGTAGGGGTTGTTTGGGAGGTACCTGTTTTAAGATGATTTGTTCAAGAGTAGTATTTATGCACTCCTTAGACATGTTTGGTAATTTTTCTATTAGTATTGTGAAGAAAAAACAGAGTGGAAGAGGCAAAAACTTGTTAAGTGTGAATTTTAGCAGTACTTTCAACTCAAGAGTAAGTATATCATTAAATGGAAATTTTCCCATAAGGCTAAATTCTTGTCCAGTAAAATCATTTTAAAAGGTTTTTATAATTTTTGCTGGTTTTGTTAAACTTCATTTAAACCATTTCTCATCACAGATTTAGAGCAGGAGATGAACAGTTATGCGTCCAAGAGCTTACAAGAAGAACTCGTCTGGGAATAAAAAGAAGAAAGCTAAAGTTCAGACTAAAAGCCCAGTTAGGAAAAGAGCAGATGTGACCAAAGATGAGAAGCTTGATTATTTCTATACCCCTCTTAGAAAGGATTACGTTAAGGAACATGAAAAATTCATGAGTTTCGATCAGGAGTATGACTATCAATTACTTGACTGGAAGTCAATCTCCAACCTCATCCTTTCGTATGCTTTTGTGCCTTAACACTATAGTGACCAGAAGAAGCCTTTTAAACTAGCTTTAGACAAGCTTAATAAGATAAAGTGTAAACGTTTTGACCGCAAACTGTATGACAAATCCGACAGCAGGTTAAAAGTAAATTATCCTTAAATATTACTTTAGAAATCAAAATTTTTCGCTTCGCTCATGAAGGCTTCAAAACGGAAGATTGCACACAAGGCTACTAAGAGAGGTCCGAGTCCGAATGGAAGTTCGGAATCTTCAGCAAGCCAAATCCGGAGGAATAATTTTATGGATAAAATCTTGACTTTTAATAAGAAGAATCTTGCAGTCTCTGAACGGAGAGCTACTGTTGCTGATGGGACTAATAAGAATTTTATCCACCCTCCTGATGCGTTAGTGGCTCCTTCTGAGACTGATATGGGGCAAAATATTGACCTTAATTCAAGTAAGCACAGATTTTTACACCTTAGGAGGACTACAGTCAAGCTTGATGGAAGTGTTACAAGAAAATCTTGATGAAGAGAAAGCAAGGTAAGTTTCAACGATAAAGATAAGAATTTTAGCAGTTAAAATTTTAAAGAAAATTTTGGAAAATTTGAAAGGTTTTTATGCATATTTATCAGCCAACCCTTAGTTTTCTTTTATTTATGTGTAAAATTTTATGTGATAGATTATTAAAACTAGATTTATCCTAATTTATTAAGACTAAATACTGAATTTAACTGTAAATTTAGTACCATTGCAGAGTTTACTATTGCTTTAAATTTTTTAAATTATTTGAAAATCCAATCATTCTATCGACATAGCGAGCATGAGAAGAAAATAGAAGATAAATCAGAAAAAGAGTCTTCTAAGCTATCTAGAGTATCGAGTTCTTCAAGTAGCTGTAGTTCAGCCACCTCAATCAGCTGTAAATACGAGATCAATGTGAACAGCATTGAGGCCAATAGTCAAAGATCTTTATCTAAAAAGCTGAGTGTTTGTGGGCCTTCAGAGATAGATGAAACTGAGCAGTTTGGCTCTGTGCCTCCCATGAAGATCAACATTCTGCCTGATCTCTCAAATATTGAGAAAATGTTGCAAGTAAACACCATGAATAATTTTTAGTCAAATGATTCCTCTTCGAACTTAACCTCATACTCCTCAACTAGCTCAAAAGTGAGTTTGAATAAGGAATTTATGAAATAAATCAGGTGATGCAAATGCTTTGCTAGTGAAACTCCACTCGATTGGAGGTCAGCATCACAGAAGGAGCAGCATCACCTTTAACAATGCTCTTGAATCAGTCCCTAACGATAATAAGAGCGAGAATCTTAAAAAGGAAGAGGGTAAGCCCAAAAAGTCTCTTTTCAGGAAAAGTCATAAAAACTTCAACGTAAACCTCCTTTTTAATACTTAGAGTATTTGACTAAGTAAGATGAGAGAGAGCAAGACAGCTTCTCAATTCAAAAATATCAAGAGTAGTTATAGAAGCTTATTTCGAAATAAAAAATCAACAAGAATGTCAAGACATAGGCTTCCTTTTGTAATGGGAAAATCACCTACGTAAGAAATAATCTCTACTCATAGGAGGAAGAAGACCACAGCTGGAGGACTCGTCTCAGATATCGATAGAAGAAAGACTTGTATGGTTCAAAACAAAACTGTAATGGCGGTAAACTCATAGTCTTAGATCTAGAATTATAAGAAAGCTACCATCCTGTCGCAATAAAAACTCAAGAGATGTTATCAGACAATGTAGGAATGAAGACTGCTTCAAACCATAAAGCATCTATCTTCAAGTTTTCCAATTTTGAAGATACTGCTGACAATAATACTAAAGTTGGAAAAGAAGAATTTAGCAAAGACACCACCTTGTTAGCAATGTAATCCATCATTATTATAATATAGGCCTGTTGTGCTGAGCCATGAAAGAACTCCAAGCTTCATAAATAAACTTCCTTCAGAAATGAAGGAGACTTTCATGTACAAAAATGACAAGACCACCAATAATTTCTTGACTATTCATGAAAATATCCAAGAGGATAAAGGAGAAGAGGACAAAGAGTCTTCGTCAAATTCAAGCTCTAGCTTTTCAAGTACTGTGAATCAGACCAGCAGAGATTCCTCAAACAAAAGTAAACTACCAAGTCCCATCACAACTTTAGGATGAACAAATCTTCAACCTATTAATGAGAGTGTTGAGATCAATTCAGAGGAGCCTCAGCTTAGTAAAGGACCTACAGATACAGAAACTCTTAACATTATGGATCTGGAATCTGAAGATGTCTCTCGTACAGCTATAGCAGGTACTTCTTTATTCTCACCATAGATTCTTCTGATAGGATCAATAAGAAAAGAGTTGAAGATGTATACAACAAAAATGTACTGTATTTAAGCTCAATGTTAGGTCCCGAAGCTTCCAAATTCAGAGAATCTTCAAGAAAATCAGCTAGAGAAAATCTCAACAACAATGTAAGAATATCAAATTATTCATAGACTTAAACCAGTCACAGAGAAGGAAAAATCTAAAGTAGTCAGCACAATAGATGCTATTAAAGAGCAAAGGACTAAGTTTAGCCCTACAGTTCCTTCTGTAATCAAAAGGCCTTGTCTGAACACAGTTGGTATATCCTTCAAGTTAACATTTTAGAGAGAAGAGTCAAAAATACTGATAAAATAAGTAAGTTTCATATCTTATGATTCTAGCTGAGAAGCTTGTTCTGAAGAAAAAGAGAGCAAAGAAATCAGATATCAGTGATATTTCCATAGTAAAGGACCCCTCTGTTAAGAAAGGTACCAGCCCAACCTACAAGACAAGGAATAAGGCTAAATTTGAAGGAGAATTAGGTATCGCATACAGGTCATTTTTAGACTTTAAATCCTGAGCTTTCTCCTCTTTTAATAAGAGAAAAGGATCCAGTAAGAGAAGAAAATAAGAGGAGGTAGGATAAAAAGGTTTAAATCCTCTAGGCATATCTCAAACCAAAATGTCACTCTCAGTTGATATTCACCATTAAAGAAGAAAAGCAATCGTATTTGTTATCGTGCAGAGAATAAGCTTTTCAAGGATGTGGATAGAATCCTCAGCAGTGTTGATAATACAAAAGCTAGTCGTTCAAGAGCAATTTCTCCTTCAAATGAATTGTCTCAATTTTCTCCAATCAGAGCAGCTGGAAGAACTATCCAGAAAGTGTCAAGGGATGATCTGTTTTCACAGAAGAGAAAGCATAAAAAGACAAAGTAGTTAAGAAGGTTATATATAGTTGAAGGAATGCAAAAAGTCCTCCCTACAGAACACTTACAAGACCATTAATCGGTTCTTTCAAGAGAAGGAAGCATTTTGTAGTCAAATCTAAATAAAATTTCATCGGGGTTCCAGGATTCTCGGAAAATTGGTGATAGTATTAAAATAAGACGGAGGGTATTCTCGCCCTCATGCTCAATAGGGGTACAAGAGGAGTCAACCTCCACCTTCAAAAAGTAAGCTCTATGGATTATTTAAAGTAGAAAATGTGATGACAGTATCCAAAAGACCAAAGACGAGGAATCTTCAGCTATGTCTTTCCTTATGGAAAGACCCAAATACAAAACTTGTAACAAGAAGGAGTCAAAGGAATTCTCAATTTTATCAATCCGAAAGGCTAAACATAAGAACAAGACTGGAAATCTTAAAAACTATATCGCTAAGATAGCCAACTTGGCAGATTTTTCGGTTTCTATAAAGAACACTGGAAGGTAATCCTAGCTTAAAGGACTGCTCAAAATGTTCATTAAACATGTTTTAATGGCGATAAATAATATAATTGAACGTAGAGATTATTTCACTTGGTCTAGTAAACTCAGGGGTTTTGGGGTTTTGGGGTTTTGGGG